TTTAAAAAGCGCTCCACCACTAGTTGACTTCAGTGGAACTTTTGCCATAGAGGACGTACCGAGTAGATGTCGCACCTCAGCATAAAACTCACCGAGCTGGTTGGTATCAGCGAGCCACTGCATCTGACGAGCCTTCTCCTGCCACCACTTGTCTTTCGCTTGTCGTGCGAGTTTACGCAGCTCCAGATCACTTTGACGCAACTCCATAGCACCTCCACTCTGATGAGTTCTACTGTGCTGCTTTAGGAGCCTACGGTGTTTATCAATAGCGCCTGTAAGTATCCCATCATTCTCATCAAACCAGTCCTCATGTTTTCGAACTCTCAAACCCAAAGTAGATTTAGCAGTGTCGAGAACACAAGAAGATAGAGACTCCCAGACAACATCGATCTCACCTAATTTTAGATCGAGGGGCTGCAGAGCAGTGTTCAAGGTTTCGGCATATTTAGCCTTCGTGTTAGTATCATGGAGTCGTTCGAGGTTCAGACGTATCTGTTTAGATCTTCCCACTCTACAAGGAGGTGGAAGACGAAGATTTAATTTAATAATAACAAGCCGGTGATCAGTCCAACAATGAGCACCACGCATGACACGGGTGACTTGGACTTGAGATATGTCTTTTTGACGCACGATGGCGTAATCGATAAGGTGCCAATGTTTCGATCTGGGGTGCATCCACGTTGCCTTGTACTTGGCAGGCAGTCTGAACATAGTATTTGTAATTGCAAGATCCAATTGTGCACAAAGACTAAGCAACAATTGGCCGCTGCTGTTCATTTTACCAACACCATGTCTGCCGAGAACTTTAGGCCAGGCGTCATAGTCTCGTCCTACTCGGGCGTTAAAGTCGCCCATGAGAAGGATTTGCTCTCTTGGACGAATACGATTTACGCACCGCGTCAATTCTTCGTAGAATTTATCCTTAATATCATCAGACTTGTCCAGCGTAGGGGCATAGACACTGATGATATTAAGATAGCTTTCACGTTCCATGTGAAGGCGCAATGTGGTAATGCGGTCCGAGATGTGTACAGGGTACTCTTGCAGTTGAGCAGCAAGGTAGTTCTTGACAGCAAAGCCTACACCAGACCTTCGCGGCTCCGAGGAAGCGAGTCCTTTCCAAAAGAAAGTATACCCGCCGCCATATTCTACCAGCTCTCCTTCCTCGGGGAGGTGTGTTTCGCTGAGTGCAGCCACATCAATATTATAGCGACTTAGTTCCCGAGCTACAATGGCAGTTTTTCGCTCAGGCATTTGCTTCGCGGTCAAGAAGTGTGCGCACATTCCACGCGCCAAATGTCATTGATTTTGATAAATTAAATTTTCCATTATTTTTCCTGTAGCGCCGACCGCGAATTTATGATGCGGAGGCAGCCGCGGTTGCTACCATCCTAAAGGGGTTGGAGTGAGCATTTGTTTAGGGCACCTTTTCTAGCCCCCTCCCCGTCTGAGCGAGGAAAGCAGTGCCTCCCTGAATAGGGCTGCTTTGTCACCTTGGGTGCTGCCGAGTCCGCTCTGTCACCCCGTTGCAGAGCAGAAGCGACCACGATGTACACTACACCCCCAAGACCGCCTACGTGCAGGAGTCAGACAAAACTCAACGGGCATCACGTCAAGCCTCTCTACCTCCTCCCATCGCCGTAGGACATTGGTTATAGATCGGAGTCCTATTTGGAAGCAGGTCAATTGCGCAGGACATATTAACGTGCACAAGTGTACGCGCGGACACAGGTGCACATACTCGTCTTTGCCCCTCTGGACCCAGTGGAACGGAGACCGTTACGACCGGAGAGGGACTCGGACAGATGGAACAGTAGGTATATCAGTGAAAAAGGTACAGGGGTTCAGTCCTTTTCCACACTCCCTTAGTCGCCTTCTACGACACCCACAGGTAGATATGGGGTGGTGGTATTCTACTCCGCCGCACACCACACGGCATACATTCAATATTAGCGTTACAATGATAAAAGTTACTAGGATTATATCGTTAGTACCTAAATATAATTTAATACTTATTATATACTGAATAGTAAATAATATTTAATACTTTATATGTTTTAACATAACACATAAAATAATGGCATTAATTGTTACATTAGAGAACAAATTACTAATATTATATAAAGAAATATAAGTAAAAATATTAATTGAAGATAAATTATTTTGTACTTTTCTATTAGAAATGTAAATTGGATATAGCAAATTCTTAATCAAATAAGAGTTTACTTTAACTTTACTTTAGTGCCAAATCTTCATTGGACTTCATATTGCTGCCTCAAGTGAGTTCCATTTATATTCGTTGAATCAATAGGTATGCTATCTTTCGAAATAAACTCATAAGGGATCATTTAAACATTTATAGGCTAGCCTCCTTTTTACTTAGGAGTACGACTGGGTAAGTACTGTAGACGCCAAATAGCAGTGCTGGCACTGCTTGTTCGGGTATGAAAGATAGATAAAAAAGCAGATTGTGAACGTATTTTAATGATTCTTTATTTATTAAATAGAGTTTGGTAAATTTTGAAAAAACCCTCAACCCTCAAAGATGGTAAATAGGGGAAAAAGTTTCATATCGGATTATTGTTTAAGGAATTTCATATGATATCATCGCAGACTGAGAATCAATATTAAAGATTCTTTTTTACTGAATAAGTTATACTTCAAGGAGAGAAAGCAAGGGTAGCAAATAAATAACTTCTTTTTTAGGAATTTGAAGTCAGTTTTTACTTTTTTGTTAAAAGTTATAATTATTACTGGTAACGAAGCATTGCATTGTAGTCCTTAAGAGGTAATCACGCATCGGTATTTTGACTTTTCATTGAGAATATATGTAGATTGTAAATGTATATGTCATCATCCACATACCAGCAGGTATGCTCATTTGTCATCAATACCTGTAAACAAAAAAAATATATCTTCACCTACACATTCCTACATTTTAAACCATTTTCTCGTTATACTATGTTTAATTTACCAAGTACAAGCGAGAACTATACACTACTCACAGCCTAGGATACGAAGAAAGCGAAGAAAATGAAAACAGTCTGCTTTCAACGTTTTACAAATGGCTGCGAGCCTGCGAGTTATAAATTATATTGTTAGCAAACATTTTTTTTATATTCTACTAAGCCAGCGCTTATCTACAATCCAACCTGATGATAAGTGGTGATGTAGCCTAAGATGGTGAAGCGAACTGACTGAACTGAAACTGTAATCGGATGGAAAGACAGATGCTAGCAACTTATTCCACTCCTTTGCTGTACGCATGATGAACGACGCAGCGAACCCTTTGGTTCGATTGCATGGTAAGTCAACAACGTAAGAAAGGAGACTGGCCTAACGTCTGGTTTTCCGATGGTGGAAGGGAGAGGGGGAATTAAATTATGCGATTTCTTCGCTCACTGTCCGAAATGCATCCTGTAGAAAACCGAAAGGCTGGCTACTTTGAGTCTGTGTTCGTGGCTGGTAAGATTGGTTTGAAACAAATTTGAGTCACCAATAAGTCTCTTAGCACGCCTTTCTATTGAGTCCAAAGATGCTAGGTGGCATTTTGCAGCACCAGCCCATATATGGCAGCAATACTCCATGCACGACCGGACTTGCGCGTTATATAAAGTAAGCAGCTGTCCCAGCGTGAAGTATCACCGCACCTTTCTAAGGACTCCCAGCTTCCTTGCAGCTGCTTTGGCCTTGGACTCAATGAACCACCTGAAGTTCAGATTTGAAACCCCAACAACTGAAGGCGGTCGGTATATTCCAGTGATACATTTCGGAAAGAAGGAGCTAAGGTGAGCTGGCTCCTTTTTGCAGTGAAGAGACATGCTTGTGTTTTGGAGGCGTTGAATTTTTATTTTGATGAAACTATTATTATAATTAAAATATGTTCTACTATTAATATAATTATATAAAAACTATTAATATAAATAAAATATGAATGATGATTATTATAATTAAAATATAGTTTATTATTTACATAAGTTCATTCATTAAGCTTTGCAGAGGAACAATTTTGAGTTATTTTTGTAGTAACTATTTAAAGCGCAAAAGCTAATAACAGAACATGAGTTTGGTTAAAACTACTCCACTAATTAATTAATAATTACGGACGTAGATATTATGACCGTACCGTAGATATTATGATAGAGTCTTAATTAGACGAACACTGAAGAAGGATTTTCAATTATGAGCGCCATTGTATTTGAAATGTTTAATTGGTATGTAATTAAGTTAGTTTATACTGCACAATGCCATTTAAATATTTAATTTAGATGCTTTCGTAATTTTTAGATAGTTAAAACTCCATTAAATAATTTGAGGTTGCCTAAAACTACGCTTGTTAGTACGATAATATGCTGCCAATCAAGATTTCTTCACCATCTTATGTCAGTTCTTCGAGCTCTATGGCCGGCCAAGCTGCGGTGTTAGTTATACTTTGTCTTTTGCGCAATAAAATGAATAGAAAACTCTTCATAGCTTGCTGAGAGACTTTGAGGTCTCCAATGAAGGACTATGGTCTCGGTTCCGTAACTCATTACTCATATCACGGATATACGAGTATCAATTATTTAGGATATTGTTTACTTAACTATTTATTATTAAATATTATATTCGTTTAATAATCAATATATTTAGAGAATTTTACTGTAATTTGGATAAAAATAAAGTATATTTGTAGTTATTATGTAACAATATAATAAGTATTGTAATATTGGATCATTTTACACACTTATGAGTGTGTAATTTATCTTCCACATAATGACACTACGCATTTAAACCCTACCCGGTGGTATATATAGTACAGACGGTTATTTTAAGCAAAGAAGTTATTATATATGAACTAAATAACAACTTAATATCTAACATCTATTGTAAACATTTACTGTAGAATTGTATCAAAAGAAACTTTCTTAAATTTACTTACACTAGGACCTGACATAATTCTTTTACATTTTTTTTATTAATTTTTTATCATTAATTGACATTTGTTTTTGTTGTTTCAGTATCGGTGGCGAAGCATCGTTACACTGGGAACTGGAGGCTGTATATTACTCTACTGGCGCTTAAAATTTAAAGGGAATCCGTCTCCTTTTGCTGCAGCAGATAATCCGACAGCACGCGATCCCTCTTTTTTAACTCGACTTTACACTTTTACTTATCTGCCCGTGTTTAATTTTTTTCTTCTACTGTATCCCTTTCATTTGAGTTTCGATTGGTCAATGGATTCCATACCACGTATAACTTCTTTTTCGGATCCCAGAAATATTTCTTCTATTATATTTTATTTAGTTTTATCAAAAATGACATGGCGGGCACTTTTGATTCAAATTAAAACATTTACAGAAAAAAAGATCAAATATTATAAGAAACCAATGATGAAACTGAAGCAGAAATGGAACTACAACTGCAAGAAAAATTTAAAAAATCTAGATATGGAAAGAAGAAATATAATTCCAAACAAAGACTCCGTAACCAAAACGATAATTTGTCCGTGCAACGGCTGCAAACGTTCATTGACAATGGAACATACTTCTGTATGTCGCACTGTAAATAATAACAACACTATGATGCATAATTCTACATGCGTTTGTGCAAAACCGCAAGACAAAATAAAAGTACAATTGCCAAAAAAATACATCTATAGTTCACCACAAGGAGCTATAATAGTATTTATAGCATTTATGGTGCTACCGTTCGTGCCAGCATCTAATATTCTATTCTATGTTGGTTTCGTTGTAGCAGAGCGTGTGCTTTATATTCCTAGTGTTGGATTTTGTTTATTGCTCGGATTGGGAGCAGGTGCTTTGACGAGAAACTGGAATCGAAACGAAATTCGGTGCCGTATTTTTATATTGGCACTGATGGTCACTTTATTAACGATGTGCGGATGCACACTGCGGAGAAATATTGACTGGCATGATGAAGAGAGTCTTTTTAGAAGTGCTTTACACATTAACCCCCCAAAAGGTTAGTAATCTTGCAACGTTATATTTTATTCCATTACTTATGCTCATTACTAAATTATATTACTTCAGAAAAAATTATAAATCTACACTGGTTGAACATGTTATTTACAAAAAAATACAATATTTAATCATCAATATCACTAGCAAGTAAATTTTCATCTTAGCAGGAACATTCATTAATCATTTGGGAAATCGCGTTTGGAGTTGAAAACTTTTAAATTATTACAATTTGCAATGTTTTCGTGGCATAACAAAATGAGTTCAGCCAGTAATATAAAGTTGGCAACGAACACTTGTAATTTTACTCTGTACCTTACCCAAAACTTTGTTTGGAGTACTTTCACGTTCTGTTCAAAACTAAGACACAATTAATTTGCTTGAGAGATAGCTACAAACAACCTGTCCGCGCCGTGTCAGTTCCCAAAAGTTGAAACGGGGCTATCGCGGCCAAAGCAAGGTCTTCCCACTGAGTACGTACTTGAGAGCATCTAATATATATCCTATTTCTACTCACTGTAAAACTCTTGACCTTTCTAGGACGCTATTATACATGCATGTTTAGCACCCCAAGGGAGACAGCCTCGGGTTCGTATTCACATCAAACTTTGCGCAAAGCGAAAAGTTTTAGCTGCTGGTTCTCATTTCACCTCAGTCCTCGACCCAACTCGGCACCGTATATCATATTATATTTCGATTTGGAAGTAGGTGTAAACAAAATGCGTATGTTATTTATTACATTTTAGTTATATTATCGCATTGTAACTTATTTCAGTTTATTTATGTATTTGAAAAAGATATAGATTTACATTCAAAAATAGAATTAATAGTTACACTAAAATTACACAAAAGTACAGCAGCTAATAGTTTTTTCACCTAGTTTAATGCTAATTTGAAAATATAATAGCACATTTTGTACGATATAAAATTGTTCTTTTGTTCGTTTTTTGTGATTTCTCCCTTACATAATTCATATTTTACACAGGGTCATAAAATTATACAACATTATAAGGTAACAAACTAATATAATCTTAAGCTACTTATTTTTGTAAGAATAAAAAAAATATTATTCTAAAACCAATTTTATAAAATATAACGCTTATATAATTTATTACTTGCTATTTATACACGAAGAGATAACAAATAAAAAATATCCTTATTTATATCGTAAAATAATTGAACATAACTAATATGACCGTACTTAGTTCTGAATAAACTTTTTTTATGAAAATCTTCTGTTTTCACCTCGCACTAAAAGCTAATTGGATCCAATTTGCCCCAATGGGATATTCGAAACAGACCAATCACGAGCTGTCCTGACTACAAATTGGTTAGGGAAGAGATAGTGGAGGTGTAATCAGTTGAATCTGGCGTTTTATCTAAATCAACTTTTGTTGCGATAACGGATAATATTTAAGCTACAAGTAATTATATGTTCCTATTAACGTGTTTTGTTTATAGTCACCAAAATGGTGTTTCTTTTTTTCTCAGTTCTTATAAAAATATATAGCTTGCCTATACATATAAATAAAAATGAAGTGTCCGTCTGTAATATCTCAATAACTGCCTTTTAATAAGCTGAGGGAGTTCTTTGTATGCCATTAAGATTTGCTTGTATGAAATTACACGAACAGATAGAGAGCAATGACTAGAGTGTTATAAGTAATATTCTTTTTTTTTGAAAAATTTATAAAATAAGTGGTCTTTGAAGATTATTTTATATCTAAATATATTAATAAATCCTGAACGCGAAGCCAAGGTGGGTCTATAATTATTACAAATAAAATAACAAACCATTAAAGTGCAATCAGGAAGAGTATGAGAGTTAGTTGCCTGTATTTGGTGCGAGGCTTGTTCACGTATATTTTAAATTTGTTGAAAGCTCCATGATACATGGGAAATTGCTAAAATAAGGGTTACTTTCGTAAAAAAAATATTAAAAGTTGTTTAGTGATAAATTTGTTTTAACATACATGTTATTTTAGCTGTATATAAAAAATTATAGTTAACTGTATTAGGTTCAAGTATTCGCCTTATTTTATAATATGAATACAATAGTGACAAATATTGACTTTTAGAAAATTTCATAGATAAATTCTCTATATTTAACTCTAATATGTTTAGGCGGCGAGTCGCTAACGATCTAATGATATCAACTAAATCTTCTGTATCTGTTGAGGTTTTACCAATTTTATTATTCCGTTAAAGTCCCCACTTGAAAGGATTTGAAAGATTAAAATCGTTAGTGTTAGAAATCAGCTTTGCACTGTCATATCTGATAACAGTATCCTTAATGTGGGATGCTTTTCTAACATGCTTAATGTTAGAATGTGTCAAAACGCATTACATTGGTCGACAGGTTAGACACTTCTTTTGATTATAATTATAGTGATTGTTTTTGAAAAATGATTAAAGAAATAAACTGGGTGAATTAGAAAATTTTATCTTTATTATCTAGTAGTCAATTTTTTTTTTAAATAATGGTTTTGATTTTTAACTCTTTTAGGTTTTTAAAAGTTTGCGAACATAGGAATTGCGAAAGTAGCTAAAATGAAAAGAAAAATACATATCCCTGTACAGTCCCTGGTGTTATGAGACCACTAATCGAAAGTTATTTGGCAATTACTATAGTTTAATACGATGGTATAAAATTTATCACTGAGGGGTTTTATAATCACAAATATTAGCTACGGATTCTAAACCACGTCTTTTCTGCCGACTTCCAAAAAGGAGACGGTACTCAATTCGACTGTGTTTTTTTTGTTTTTTTTTATGTGTGTTACCTCGTAACGTTTTACTGGGTGAACCGATTTCGATGATTCTTTTTTTATATGAATGCTGATACTTTTCGTGTGGTTGGATTTTTTCAAGGTCAGACAAATAGTTTTTGAGTTATTCTTAATAACTTATATTGAAGTCGACTGTACAAAATTTTTAATTTTTAATTATTTAACTTATTTTGATGACTTATGTCCGAGATAGCTTAGTTTCTCAGTTATAGCACTAGAGATACAATGCACATACAAATATAATAATTCATCATCATACTAATTCATCATCATCATTACAACCCTTCTCACATCCACTGCTGAATATGGACATCTCCCAAATAACAGACAAACACGATCCTAAGCTACCTGCATCCATCGACTTAGTGTATATCTTACCAGATCGTCACTCTATCTAGTGTGAGGCCGTCTTGCACTCCAATTACCGATACAAGGCACTCTGAAACTTTTCTCCCCCATCGACTGTCAGTTCGTCGAGCTATGTAGCCAGTCCATTGCCATAATTGCTATCGATTAATTGAATTACATTTATAATTATATTATAATAACAATCAGTTGTAGCATCAGTTAAAAAAGCAATAACATTGCCTAATAATAATTATTATTATAAAATATCTGTAATCGGAAAACTAACGGTTGTATAGTTAAAGTAATCTGTATACAAATAACAATTTTAATTTTATTAACATCGTACTTAATAAATTATGGTTAAAGGTATAAGGACATGGCCTTTCAATCGACAAATTCAAACCAATTAATGCCCAGCTTACCTGCAGGCGGTGCCAACTGTCAAACGAAGCCATGGCCACGAACTGCTTTTAGAAAATCCATTCAAAAACAATGAACTGCTTTTAGAAAATTCGCTCAAAAATGTAGATAGGGAATAGCGTTACCAGTGCAAAGTTAACAATTCTGCGCTTACCAATTCGCATAGAACATGAATTGTTTGAGCTGAATATAAATTAGCAAAGCTTTCAAATTATAATAAATTTTAGTGGCCGCAAAAATGATAAACATGGGAATACTTCCGGAGTTTCTTTGCCATTTATCTTTCGGTCAGGTCTCTCAAAAATATCAAATAATATTATATTTTATTCATTTTCATTAATATATTCAATTTAAGCTCTTGAATTAACTTTCTATTACTACCTTGTACTATTAAGTCTTTAAATTTTATTACAGAGATTTATAATGATTATAGTAACGTTTCCTACTTTTGAAATAATTTGAATATCATTTCGATATGTTATAATAATATTCTGCTTATTTTAGCGTACGGCAATCTGGGCAGTGTACTGACCACACAAGGGAGGATAGCAGAGGCGGAAGTTGCTTTCGAGAGAGCGTTAAAATACAGACCAAACATGGCCGATGTGCACTACAATTTGTAAGTACATTATAATATTCTCTGTTTATTTTATTCTATTGAGGATTACTTTTAAAGTTATAAATACACGTAAGTGATTTTATTTGCTTTTTATATTGAATTTTACTAAACTGCAATAAGATTTGTATAATATGTCGCTTTTGTTTTGATTGATTTTCCACAAATCAGACGTAAAAAAATGACGATAAAGTAAAAAATCAGGTGACTTACTTGTATTTTAAAGTTAGCTTTTATCCATCAATACACTTATTTAACCAACTATTTACCAACGGATAAGATAGTAAGGTGAAGTGGTAATGGGCCGGCCATAGAGCTGGAAGAACTGACCCCACCCCCCTAGATGGAGTGACGACCTGGTAAGCCATGCAGGAAGTCTATGGATATAGGTGGTTCAGGACCGTGCTTTGTGGCATTCCTTGGGGGAGGCTTATATTTAGCGGTGGACTTGTTAATGGCTGTAATGATGATGATGATGATAATTTAACATTTCAAACATTTATGAAATAAAATTACTTACGCGAAATTAGTTTCGTACTTCGAACAAGAACTTAAAATTACAAAACAATCAATAGGCACGCAACACAACAGCTTGTCTCATTAATTTGCCGAGGCATCGAGTTCTTGAATTAATCGGATACGCTTCTCTCTATCCCGCTACCTAAGCGTTGGCTTTCCGTGCAGTTTCACAAATTAACGTCAAGCTATCTGTTCCTATAATGTAAAACGCTATTAGAATTTCGATTGTAAACGTCTGAAAATGTGTTTCTTTACGAGATGGGACTGAAATCTGATCGTGTGTTTCATTTAGTGGTACTATTGTATCAACGCAAATTTACATATTATTTAAATAGGTTGTTTCCGTAATACAAAGAACTAATACAGATTGAAATTTCGAAAGGACGGTCTTAATCTTAAACTATGTGAAAAGAGAAGGCTCATTTACATAATTTTCTTTCATTTCCTTACGGGTAAGCTCCTTATTCGAAATTTTATTTTGTGGAGACAATAAATGTATGTATGTAATTATTCCTGTGAAAAGCAATGGTGATACTGAGTAGGGAGTATATATTATTTAAGTTTTTGTAAAAAAACTTAAATAATGAAAAAAAATATTAAAAAAAAAACAAAGTCTGCAGCTGGACATGTGTCTCCCCCTTATGTGGAAGGATTTACCTTACCCGGTGGTTTGAAGTTGGCATAAAAAAGAAATTATGTTGAACAAAGCAAGCTTGGCAGGCAATTTGATCGCAGTACCAGATTTCTGGTACGCTGTTACTACTGTGTATGTGATGGTTATACAGGCACCATCTAAATCCGTGAGATTTTTCTGGTATTTCCCATAGATGAAGTTACTACCTGGTAAGATTTGCAGGAAGTTGATGGATGTATATGATTCAGGACAGTGTTTTGTAACATAATTCTCTCCTCTCATCCTCCCCTAAGCCCTATGTTCAGTAGTGTACTCTGTTGAGGAAGATGATGAATAAAAAATTGTTAATTCCTGTACCCGGTCAAAACTTCCATAACTTGGGTATGTTTGGTGGTTCCAATATTTTGAAAGCACCATTCTAATTTGCTTATTATCAGCTGCCGCGCGACTTAAGCTTAACTTATTAAAAGCAATAAAACGTAAAAGTACTAATGAAAGATGTTAAAAATTTTTACTTGAATTTTTCGAATATGCAAAAGGTAGGAAAAAGAAATAATAAAATTCAAGAACGCTTTATCCCCTTACCTTAAATTACTTTTGTAAAAGAAATGGAAAGAGAAATGAACTGCGATTTCACACAAAGATTAGGTAATTCCAATTCTAGCGGCAAGAAATCACTTGAGCACGTACATGTCGCTAGAGAATTTGTGTGAAGAGAAGCATTGCGACACAACTCACCTTGTACGATACGTTGTTTATGTAACGATTTTCACTATTGTATACATACGATAGGCATCAATGTAATTGCTTTGGATCAGATATCGACCAAATACAAAATATTGTCATGTATATTTGTGATTTTTAATTTGCTTTAATCACTTGTTATGTGGATTGTGTTGTTTTATAATATAAAACTTTTATAAGAGACAGCTCTTAAGTTCTCAAGTTTTGAAGTTTATAATATTATACTGAAATCTGAATGTCCACTACCACTAGAATCGAGTTCTAAATCAACCGAATTTTATACGAGAAATCGAGGTAATTCACCTACTATTGTATCTGAAAGCTAGCGCACAATCGAATAGTAGTTCATATTGAAATTATCAGTATGGAAATCTTCATTACCTGTCGCTATATAGCAATCGCAGTTGCAATGTTGGGATTGCTTTTTCTTGATAAGTATGTCCAAAAATAAATGTCATAAAAATATTCAGAAAGAAAATAGTTTTTAATTTATAAAGAAATATATTCAGCGTTAAATACCCCAACAAGCCTTTAATAACGCTTCATCGTCACTCGAACTTGTTTGTCGATTTAAAATGGTTTTGGAGTAAGCTTTAAAAACAGAATCGAAAAAAAAACTGAATTCAAATTGAAAACCGAATCGAATTCTATTTCGGGAGTAAGACTCATGTATTCCATAACTCCTCTTCAGAGTATAGTTCTTAAATTCAACTTACGACCTAAATTTGTACCTGCCAATATTTTTTCTATTCCGTAGTTTGGTAAAAACTTGTTAAACTTGTAAAAACACCAAGAAACCAATGTTTTGGTTTCTTGGTGTTTTTACAAGACTTGGATACCTACTAATGCCACAACACAAAAGAAATGAAAATGATTTATGATGAATTAGTAACAAAAGATGGGCTATCTTTCTAATAACAACTAAGCATAAAAAGCGGCGTTTGCTAACCCACCTGCCAAGAGGGGAAAATGAGGTAGTCTATGGGAGAGGCTTAGGTTCAGCAATGGACTTTCGATAGGCGATAGGCGATAGAGACGTTAACGGTTACGAAATTAGTAACAACAATTAGGCCTTTAGTTAAAATATTTAAGACTGATTTTTGATTCATTACATAAAAGCGATCAATCAAGTAAATTATAACCTGACTAAATATGTAAAACAATTGAACCATTTTGTTCATACAACTGTGGTTTTTAATTAGTTTATAATTAAATTATTCTATCTATATATATTATATAATTAAAGTATTCTATCCTATGAATAATTTTTAACACAGGATCGAAAAATCGGGTCTAATTGTAACGGCTTTAATTTCACTATTCTCAAAATAGCATATAGTTTAATTCTCTTTTCTCACTTTTTACACGAACATGGAAGCAATGTTATCAACACGTACGTAAATAATTTGGAGTGTCAGACAATACTTGTACTGCGTTGTGATAGCGATAAGGCATAGATTAAACTCGTGTTTGCTCACAAGCACATATTTAACATTCTCGCCGGCTAGACTTGCGAGAACTTGCGAAGCATTTGTATTTCACATGTTGGCGACATAATTTGGTTTATAAATGCCTTGTAACATGCGCATAGAATGGATTTATGTAAAACGATAAGATAAACAATTTCCCTTGCATGCTCACAGCAATAAATATTAATGTACGAACGAGTACATGTTTTCTCTTTATTTATTTTCTTCAGATTTAAGGTTTATAAAAAAAGTTGACGAGAAATATTTATTTAAATAACTGTAATAAGTAAACTGCATAACTAAATGAAAAGAAAAACTTATACAGACGTGGTAGCTCGGTAGCTAGGAAACACAAATTATATTTGTAAGCTAACAATCACTCTCTTGATCCCCTCCGGCACCTGCCGTATGTTGTAGCCAGTGCTGATTTTCCATGTAATTTGAAATAAGGTAAAAATCCTTAGGAAAAATATGTGAAGTCCACTAAATCAGATTTGGACACCGCGGTGGGTCCTTTCGTACCCTTTAAGTAAGTACATTACTGTATTCTAGTAAGCCGTAAGATATTAGGATATTATATATTCATTTTATACGACTGCTGATTTTTTGGTTTTTTCTGCCAAGAAAATTTTAGGATTAAAATAACTTTAATATTAAATAGGTCTAAAATCATGACAACATTCTAGTTCTTTCATATGTACACTAAATTGTTGGTGGTATTAACCACGTGTCTTTAATTTAAAAAAAAAATTGTGCGTAATCTATCTTGAAAATTTGTAGGTTATAATTTAATGATACCAGTAATCATTAATTTTATTTACCATTTGTCACCTCGACTGGATCGTGGAATGTCGGTATCGCGTGACTCTATGTACCTTATGGAGGCATCCGAGCTGTTTCGTGAGCTTTCACTGTTTAAATTACTTTCAATTTATCCGAGCACGTCTACGTTCCTGCTCAAATGTGCCGAATATAACAATAATTTGATTATCATTTGAAACTCGCACCTCTTTAAATTAAAACATTTATCAAATCTTCGTTGCTTATAAAATGTAAATAAATTTTACATTGGGAGAATAGTCTTGATATGAAAAATAGTTGACAAGTAGTCGTATTTTACTTATTGCACCTTAGGACTTAGGTGCCTTACAGCATGTTATTATTATGGCTCTTTAGACATTTCAAACCGGAATACGACAGTGCAGGCACTATTAGGCGATATTTGGTGGCAGACGGACTAAGTATCCCACTAAATGACTACTAAATGACACATGTCTTTAACGATTTGCTAATAATCATTTCCATTTGTTGAACTTGGATGTCAATGCTTATACGTTTTGTGTAAGTGAGTCATTTTAATTTTTTTCCAATTAAAGAAAATACCAAGTGTGGTAACTATGGCAAAGTCTTTCCTATGAGGCAAGTTATGATGAACGCCTAGGTTTAGCAGTGGACTTTTGATAGTCTGTGATGAATGAACGAATGAATGAAATTTATAGTTGTATAAGTATATAACATTGTTTTTTTTAATAGAATAAGGGTGCCAAACGAACACACAGTCCACCTGATGATAAGTAGATGCTGTAGCCCATAGACATCTACATCTATCCTCGATTAAGAATCAAAATGCAGATGCGTTACCAACCCTGAGGACTAAGATGGAATGCCCCGTTTCCATTAAAAAACGTCCCCGGTTCTCTACACTCACAATACGACACACAATAGTATTGAGATATTAATTTGAGCTGGTATTCAACCACAGGCCAAGTGTGGTTTAGGCTATTAGATTACTGATATGTTTTAAAAGAAATCAGTAGCAAACTCAATATTACACAAAACATGTTACAGTAATTAGAAGAGAATTAGTAACAAATTATTGTTGGCATAGCCAAGGCACAATAGCTCGGCCTGGTTGAACGGTTCTCATTAGTGTAGGTAGAGCTACGTTGAGCCCGCCTTGTTGTGGGGCCTGCATTATTCATGCGGACAATATTGCACTACCGCCGTACCTCCGTATTATTGAAGTTGCTTCTTTTTCTCTCGTAACTCAAATGTCAAAATGGAGTTTTGTATTCAGCCTAATTATGACGTAAATAAAGGCAACTTTCAGATTTTATGGAAATGTAAAAGAAAAGAGTTCAAGTAAATTTCAAAATGCAAACCTTGGTTGATGTTTACAAAATAAATATAATAAGTTATGATTAATTTGTTATATAAATACAATAAAAACAGCCTATAGCTTATTCATTATCAATTAAGTTTTTGGTAAGACTGAAAATAAAACTTACTCATATATGTATGTACATATACTTGTGTATATATGTAAGTATACTACTTAAGTAAGTTTTATTTTCTGGGGCCTTACCAAAAACTTAATAGATAATTAATAAACTATAGTATGTGTTCATTTTTAACCCTGTAAGACGGGTTCACCTAATACAGAGTTCACGGAGTAAAGATTGTGTTATGTAATACTTACTCCTTATAAATAAATAAAAAATATACCCCAAACATTGCCAAATGTAGCAACAGACAGAAGCTAGTTAACAATATTATTTTATACAAGTTTTGTAACCTTACTTAATTATGCAATCTCGGCTAAACCTTTTTATCTTTTTATTGTCCACTACTAGGTATTGCCTTAGATAATCCTCTTTCTTAAAATATTTATAGAAAAAGCTAGTACCGATTTGAATCTTGATGCAGGTTTATAATTCAAAATAAGGACAAAACCGGCCTTATATCTTATACATTGAGACGAAAACAGTAAATTATAGATAAATTGTTTTGCGGGAAAATTAATATTCCTATACCGTTACAGCTTATTAAAGTCCACTGCTAAACGTAGACCTCCCCATAGATTGGCGGGATATTTGCCATAGTTGCCATGCTTGGTAAGCGGGTCGGTAAGCCCATCACCTGTTCCAGTTTCCCTCTGTCGCCTCTTACGACACCCACGGTACGACATGGGGTAGTAGGTATTCTTACACCGCCACTATACGGTCATAGGTAATACTCCTGTAGTTAATATTATAAAATAATTCTTAATTAGACCCTTACGGTCTACTTTCGGAAATTATTTTATCCCATTTACGGAAGGTTTTAGCGGTAGCGTGGCAATTACCACGCGTAGCTGACAGATTACCGATAGCAATTCCGAACCTCTGTACAAGTTCTTTGTTAGTAGATTCTCATACACCAGCAGCGTGGTAACCAAAAAAAATTAAAGATTTACATATATATATATAATTCTGAAAGTAAAAAAAACATATTATCTAGAAGTATTATTTAAATTTTACTGCTATTATATTTTCCACCAAAGGTCTTGGTTGAACAACCGCCTAGACCTGGAACAACTAATTCTATAACATTAAAATATAATACACTAGGACCACAGCCAAAAGCTTAAATAATGCAGTACCCTACCGTTCAAAATTTAAACAGTATATTTGTCTTAATTATTAGGGTGTCAAATCAGCTAACAGTTCAATTGTAGGTAAGTGGCTACTGCAGCCATGAACTTGTGTTTAAAGCCTTAAGCAATGGTCGCCTAAAGATACCTCTTAGGTCTTACATGAAATGCCACTTTCTCTTTTAATAAAAAAAATCTGCGAGTGCAACCATTCCAGATGGACACAGGCGAAAACTTTTAAACCTATTGGTTTTAGATACTTCTCAAAACGAAACACATTGATTAGAGAATTGAAATTAAAACATAAAAAGCAATCCACATAAAACATGTTTAATTTTAAAGATAGATGGACACTGGATAACTTCGATAAAATATTCTGAATCTTAAACGTTCGAACAGGTTCAAAGTGAGCGTGTAAACCATTTATAAACAGATTTAGTTTTATAATTTTGTTTATCATAGATAGGCTTTATACATGTATATTTTCCCGAACTTTGTCCCTATACAGGAATTACTCACTCTTTGGAGTCGATTAACTGGTAACTCCTAGCTGGGTCTTGTTCCTAGTATATACGGAATACAAACATCATTGTTTAAAAAAACTATTTTGTTTTATGCATACATTAACTTCTTGTAACTATACTGAGAGACATAAGTTAATATATTTATTTCTTTAAAAAAATGATCTAAGAGACTACTTCGGACTTTTGTTATACCAAGATATTTTTAATGCCAGTTTATTTTCACCATAGAAAGATTCCATACACCATTATGGAAATAACTAAAATTCATTAATTTATCTGCTTCAACTCAAGTAAGGTTTCTAATATTGAAACGAAGTGCCTTATCGGACGGTGCGGGTTTGGCGGATGGGAGCTAGGACAAAAAGTGTAAGATTTTTTCGTCACTACCCCTTGTCTCATAGTGTAGGCGGCCTTGGTGGCGAAATAAAGGAGTGAGATGGAATAATATCCATCTCCCTCGCACTTTTTCTTATCTTGCCATGAAAGAAATATTATTTTATTTCAAATGACGCTTCATTTTAATAGACGATAGTAATTCATTTATTTGTATTTGTTAATCAATAATATAACACCTGCGTTTATCAATAATAATATAGTACGCAAGGAACTTCCTTTCAACCGAGTGTTGCACGACGCTCAAGCATTTATATTTCCAAAAAAAAAACTGTGATATCCACTAGACAACCAACCAACACCTACAAACCAGCCAACCCAACTCTTTTCATTGAAAATAATATTTATATTAGTAATGTGAAAGAAAGTGTGAAAATGTAAAATAAAAGAAAATTGTTTAAGCTAAACCAAATATATTTATTAAGTCATAGAATTATTCACTTAGTCATATTTTATTAAATGTCGTTGCAGCTTAAAAATAAATTATCATTATTAACACATAATACAATATCATAGAAAGAACCCGTCAAGGTAAGATAAGTTTATTTATATAAGTTAAAGCAGGAATGGACCTGCCTTAATTTATATAAATAAGCATGAGACATGGAGCTTTTGACTTCTTATACATACTTAAATATATAATAAATTTAAAAGCAATATCTTACATTCAAGTAATGTAGTTTCCTGATTAAGATCTCATGAGGAATGAAGTAAAAGGCATTGGAAATATCACAAAATACCCAAAGAATTTGGTGAATTCTTTCAGGCTTTAAAATATATTAAATTACGTATTAAAATTGCCTCTCCTATCAACGAAAAGTATTCATGTATTGTTAGGACAAAAACTACTAGATATAACAATGACACTCAGCTTTTTATCGCGTTGATGGTTTGCTATCGCGGTACAAAGATTTATCGATTAACAATTGAGGAAGTTGCCGATTGCTCACAGAATATTGATACGGGTTCAGTTTAGAACATCTGCAAATCAGCTCCATCGGTGTGCCCTATTATATTACATTATATACAGATAGTATTAAGAAAAGCAACTTTGTGTCCCAATCGCACGATTTCACGAACTTAAATGTGTTCAAAAATGTTTTTATAATCGTAATGTTGATAACTGTATTACATCATATTTTTTGCAGAAAATGTTTAAATATAATAAAATCAATCCATTGGCTATAAAATGGAACACTTTACTTGTACCTTGTTACAGAGGGATTCTTCTACAAAATCAGAGGCGATATGGAGAAGCGATCAAAAGTTTTGAGAGAGCAATTTATTTTAGGCCTTCAATGGCACGTGAGTGTTTTTAAGTACCGACTTTCCTGCAGTTTTTCATTATTATGTACATATAAATTTATAAATTGGGTTACCATGTTCAGTAAAACAATTGATGCAATAATTTTTAGATTCATATGCACAATACTTATGTGTTTTGTGTATTATTTTATGTTTCATATTAAAAAAAATATCTTGATTTCGTTTGTTATATAAGTATGTATAAGTGGCTGTAACTATTAAAGTCATTAAAAACAGAAAATACATACCACACTCAAATCGAACTTTTTATCAATGAATAAGTAATAAACGATTCATAGTCTCGTATCCCTCCAGTACCCCAATTATCGCAATATAAGCTGGGTTGATGCCGCTAATAACAAAAATCGTACACGTAAACACCCGCATTTCTATATGCCATAAAATATTGGTTTGGTCAAAATTTCAGTCACGTATTCTAATCGCTCTCCTCAAATATCACATTAATTTAAGCATTAAACATCGCATGATATTAATTTGTTCACTAAACCTTGTATTTCTTTTTGAATATAAATATTTTTATTTAATAAAAATATGATAATTTTGTAGTGGCTTATGTCAATCTCGGTACCTCCTTAATGGCCGACGGACGCCTAGCTGAAGCAGCAAGCGCTCTACGAACGGGTGCTCGCGTTGATGGCTTAAGAGTTCGAGATCGAAGAGAACATGATGCAGCGCGAGTTTCGGCTCTCGTGCAACTTGCGACGTTGCACTCGCAACGTAGTCACTGGCACAAAGCTCTTTCCGCTTACAAAGAAGCGTTACAAATACTACCTGATTCAAATGTACCTGTTGTTGGATGGACTAGACACGTATGCTTGATATTTTATCCTATTCGTTTTTATAAATTATAAAAGATCTTAACATTTAATAAACAATGATGCTTTTCAATAATTTCCCTTCATTTCGCACTACCACAAAAATATAAAACTAATTATTTTTGCAGAATGTCTTGACAATGGCTGGAGATATTTACATACAACTTCAACAATGGCCGCAAGCAGAACATAGTATCCTTTCTGCACTGGCTGCTGCTCCACAGGATTTGAGCACACATATAACGCTTGCTCAGATTTTAGCAAGAAACGTAAATGTCAACACAAACAAATTATAATTTGTTTTTTTTTTCAACTTCGAATTATAAAGTACCTTACTTTTGCAGACAAGCAGAGCTTTGGAAGCAGAAATGTGGTTCAAAAGAGCAGTAACATTAGCCCCAAATGACGCCACAGTACGAGATCAATTCGGTAACCTTTTATAATTTTAATTTTTCCATAAAACACTCAATACGTTTACCTAAACTAAAAATCTTTATTTTTCATGATAATGATGATGATTTTACGCGAACATAAACATTTTAATCTATTTGTCTACCCCGTGACTATGACTGGTGTAAAGTGCTCATAACTTCGGGAACTGTTTATGATCAGTCCACAGGGGTTGTAGATGCTGATTAACCATCAGAATGATAGTTACCTCATTTTTAATTTAATATGTTACAAAAAAAATCAAATAGAAATCGTCTTAAATGTATTGATTTCGATCAAGATTAAGTGCTAGATTCTGTGAGGGCAGTAGGAAGAATTGTAACTTTGTGGTTATTAAACAAATAGGTAATGTTTTCCGCATCGATTTCTATCAAATTTTGAATTCGTTCATATTTTCGAAGTATTAACTGCGCAGTAATAGCGTATTGCCAAAATATATCGTCAGCTCAACACGGTTAAGTTGAACAAAGTAATTAAAAAAAGAACACAAAAAAGAGAACAAAAGAAAAAGCCCATGTGTCTCGTGTAAAATAAAATGTGTGTTCCAATATATAAGTAATATGTCGCAGAAATTGAAAATCGACCAGAATAACATGTTATGTTTCATTATTTTACAAGTATACGTGCAAACATACTGGTAACGTATTAGAATACGAGACTAAATTAAACCAAAAAAACATGAATTAGTGTTGTTTTTCTAACAAATATTGTTTAACAATCATAACAATACATGTCCAAAGGAATGTTCTTGAGATCACAAAGAAGACTACGAGAGTCAGCGGAGCAATTCGTTAAAGCGGCGCAGCTGGCGCCAGATGATAGCACACGAGCTGCATCTGCAGCAAGGGCCTTGCGTGATGCACGCCGGTGTCGCTCCGCTGAACGGTGGTATGCACGTGCCGTTGAACTAAACCCTAAGGTGAGTATATAGTAATATCCAAAATATACTATATTAATATTCAATTCAAGCTTTCAAGCGATCTTCGAGTGGAAATTAGTTTTCTATTTTAGTAAGAAATTTCATATAAAAATACTACTCTTAACAATTGTAAATAAAGACATAAATATATTGTTACTTATTAAAGCTAACGGAAAAGGAGCTCACGTCCGAATAATATGCAAAAATTTATATCCATATAGACCGGAACGGGCTAGATATTGAAATATTACTTGCCAACATTACTCCACAGACATATCTCCAAAGGCATGGTACGAGACTTACATAACTTCAAACCAGTTTATATTGAAGAAGCGGAACCAGGGCGCCAAAGTCTTTGCCAGACATCTGTCTGATGAAAGTAGCTAGTCGTCGAAGTAGAATATCAACAGTGGCAGCTTCTTTTCCGGGACACCTGAAATTTTGAGTGAGATTAAAAGGTTCAAGGTTCAAAATTAGAAAAAGCAGTAGTACACGTCATCGTTGGAGCCACACGGAAGTGTAAGTAACGATCCAAGAGTAAGTCTTATCCGATACTATTCCGATGATATTCCGAACGTCACTCTAAGGGAGATCAGAATGGCTCTCCAGCACATAGAATATGGTAAGTCCCCGTGCGAGGATGGAATTACAGCGGAGCTTCTGAAAACGGGTGGAAAATCGGTACTTAAAATCATTTAGAAGCTCTCTAATTCTGTCCTCCGTGGTGGCACTACTTTGGAGACGTGGAGCAGAAGTGCGGTGGTCTTGTTTTTCAAGAAAGGCAACGACGCTCTCTTGAATAACTACAGACCGATTTTCCTTCATTCATCGTCATTACGAATCGTCTCGACGACTTCCAGCCTCCTGAACAAGCCGGTTTCCGAAAATGCTTTAGCACCATAAACCAAATACATACCCTTCTAAAAATTGTACAGAAAACCGAAGAGTACACTTTGTCTTGCGTATGTGAACTATGAGAAAGCCTTTGATTCCGTCGAAATTGGGGCAGTCCTGCAGTCCCTTCAGCGATGGAAAGTTGACTGTAGGTTTAGCAAAGTGCTGAAATGTTTATGCAGTAGGGCTATGAAGGCTATCCGAGTAAGAAAAATGTCGCGAAACCTATCCAACTACAGAGAACTATAAGACAAGGTGAAGTTATATCCCCAAAACTCTTTACCACTGCAGTTAAAGACGTTGTATATGGGAAACACAAAAGTCATGTATAATATCTATGTCACACCTATCCCGGAAGCTGTTGGGAGCATTACGTTCGGGAGATTACGACAGATTTTCTTCATGAAGTATACCTCAAAACTGAAAAACAATAATGTACAACCATTATTGCCGGTGATAACTTAAGGATCTGAATCATGGATTTTCACTATTGACCGTATGAGGAAGTTCAAGGTCGCTTGGCGACCTATGAAAGAATGGTATGCTCGGAATCCAACGGATCCGTAAGCTGAAGCAGAAATGGGCCGGTCACACGAAGTACCGATAACCGATGGTGAAGAAAGGTTATCGAGTGACACCCTCGTACCGGTAAGCGAAATGCAGGCTCCTCCTAAATAACACGGCCTACTAAGTAGTAGAGATAAGTAGAGTAGAGAACGAAATGCAGTAAGTAGATGGATGTAGGTGGTTGTAGGGGCATTTCTTAAGGGAGGCTCATGTGTTGCTGTGGACTTTTGATGTGCTGTAAGGTCATGATGATGTGATTTTTTGTGCTATTTCCCGATAAGTAATAAAGTCAATCTGCGCGTCTATCACGTTCTTTTTAAAGCAACCTATTTGATCCGAGTATTAATGTAAAGTTTTAAAGGATTTTTATTAAATTTAGGAATTGTCAGTAAACAGTGAGATACCTATGAAACCAATGTAACAAAAACGCATACTAATATTGGAGATAATAGAGAACCAAAAAGTACCAAGAGTTATACAATAAATGAAACTAGAAAATCAATAAGATTTAAAGTGGATATAGAATAAAACACGAAAATAATAGACTATAATTAATCATTATAGTAGAGAATTCAATAGAACAAAATATGTTTTATTCAATATACAATACGAGGAAAACGAATTAAAAGTTTCTGTTGTGGAAAGTCAGAATGTGTCAAAAAAGGCATGTTTGGCAATTCATAGTGCTGTGTTAGTTCTTACTTTAGTCTATGGAAGCGGAAGTTGGTTGTGTCAGAAAAAGCACGAGAGTATAATAAATTCTGTAGAAATACGGTAACTAAGGAGTATCTTAGGGCTGAATCTGAATGATAGGGTGAGAAATCGTGTGATAAGAGAAGAGTTTGGTTTGCAAGACCAGATGTTGCGACCACGATTAAGAAAGTAATGCTTTGGTGGTTTGGACATGTAGAAAGAACGAACGAAGAAACCAAATTTATGTTGCAGAAGTGAACGGCAGAATCGGGAACGGTCGAACGGCGAAAGTTTATCGACCAAATTGACGATATATTGAAAATGGGCTAAATTAAAAGTACCCTTAACCGCCGAGCATTTATATGTAGGTATATGGATGTGTAGGAGGAGAGAGGGGTGTATCAGGATCTTGCCAAATGGAAGTCCATAGTCTCTGTCGACCTCTCTGGGTGACAGGCATGAGTGTTTATGTTTTTTTTTTTATTAAAAGGCATTTATGATTTTATCTCGGTTCGGAAAAAAAAAACACTGTCTCAGAACAGAATCTCAGCATTCATGTATTCTTAAACATTCTAATAACTCTGTTAACTATAATTCTGTCCTGCACAGATGCCTAGTCTAGGTTGAGAATGGCCGCCGTGACTGCCGTAATGGTCGGTCTGGAAGACGTTAAACAGCTTTAGTTTAATAAAAATTTATCATTTTTGATAGCAGGACCTGCATTTTTTCTAGAATTTTGTTGTAAAAGGACATAATATGCCCCTTGGAGATTATAATTTAGAGTCTAATAACTGATACTACTAGCTTGTACTTGTTCCTATTATAAATAGCTCGTATGGCCCTCTTCTGTAAAACAAAATAAAAGAGAAAAATCAAAGGAGTGGAATAATTTGCTGGCTGTCTGTCTTTCCGTCCGAATACAAACTGGGCGTCTTCAAGGCAAAAGTGAATAGGCATTTTTTTCGCTAAGACAGTGCGATTTACCATCTAAGGCTGAATGAACACTTACCACCAGGTGGGATTGTGGTCAAGTACTGACTTATAATAAGTAAAAAGAACCAGGGAATCAGTAGCGTTACAATGAGATTCAAGAGACGAACGTATAAAATAAAACACATTATTTTGGGAAAATGATTCTATGTAATTATTTCTAATCGTTTTACTTAAATTCACATGTCTTTACAGGATGCAGCTTACCACTCTAACCTCGGCGCAATTCTCCACTTGAATGGTAAATACGCCGCCGCGGCCACATCATATCGCCGTGCTCTGCAGTTACAACCCAATGACGAGATTACAATTACAAATTTAAAAAGAGTTCGAACTTTGATGAGCAAGCAGCGTAGAAAATAACTGAAGGAAGTTTTAATTAATTATAGTGAACAGCAATTTACCTCTATTTATCAAGAATTGAATAAAATAGTATGTCAATTGCCAAAATTTAATATAACGAAACAAGCATACGTGTATAAACGTTAATTTGTACCTGCTACAATCTTAAGAAATATAGTATTTTATATTTATTTTATTTTATTATACTAACTTAATATATTTAAGTAAAAATCCTGTATCAACTTAAGACGGTTATTATCAATCTAGCGAGGATACGTTAAATATATATTATAATAATATTATGTAGGTCTTCGATTATTTTGTCTCTATTTAACGATTTACCGCCAGCACATTGATTAATGAATTTCTTCCATTATGATAAAATGTTAACCTCATAAGTATGTTTATTTCCTATTATAATTAATGGATTGAACATTATTATTATTATAGATAATTGTTAAAATATAATTATTTTTAATCAAAAAATGATATGAGCATTACCGACAATTATACAGAAAACAAATAGGTACTTAATTATTATTAAAACTGAGTTTTAATCTTAAACTAATTGAGCATAAGTATCACAGAAATTTAAAATGATATTAAACTTCAAATGTTTGTGATACGTGTGCTCAATTTGTTCATCAAATATTATTAAAGAAAACTACGGTCAACAAAAACTTAAGTCTAAACACGTAATCATATCAACAAAATGGTGTATATACCATGATATTCTTACATAAAAATGTACCTAAACTCAGTATTGAGGAGTTAAATCGGAAAACGTAGCCTTAAGTGTTAAAATGGTAACTGTATATCAATTTGAATTAACGTAACTGTACTATAACTATTCCATGTTATTTTTGATGCTGTCTAAATAAGACAGGCACCAGGTAAGTTCATTAAGTTTCCATCTTTGTACACATGTTACATAAGCATCAGAAATGATAATCGCGGTTCTAATTCTAATCTAAATTCAAGGGTCTTTGAACAACGCTGTAGAAATAAGTAGATTTATACTGTAAATAATTTTTTAAATAATACAATTTTATACGCGAGCTAACATTTAATACGATAATACTTATCCATTATTTTGAAACTTTTGGGGTATTTTTTTTTTCAAATTATACATTTTTTTCGTCTTCCATTATTATTTAAAATAGCTATTTTTAAAACCAAAGATAAAAATAAGATATTACTGTAAAAGGCTAGTGTATATTAAATGAAATACTGTTGGAGGTATTGTTTAACGTTAATTTATTAGTATAATGACATTTGCAATTTCGATATTATTTACTTGACTTTTATATTATTGAAAATAAAGTAAGAAAACAAATAGAAATATCTACACTTAATTAAATCTAAAATTATCAGCACCATAGCCTGCAAGTTCATTAAATGTTTAAATTGATACCAATAGCTACTGAACTTTTTTCCCGCATTTGAATAGCATTGGCTGTTCCTAATTAATTTTGATTTATTGTATTCTAACTTATTTTTATTCGTATATTTACGATGAATTCATAAACATATCTATTTAAAGTTTTAGCAGATTATACTAATACATTAATTGTTGTTACATGTTAAATTTTAACATATTATAAACAATGTTGTAAATAACATTTAAGGCTTATAAGGCATATTTTTATTAACATGCCTATTATTTAAAACTTAATATTCTTCTACTTCTATTTTTGTCGGTTTCTTCTTACACTGTGACAATAAATGTAAATTACGCTTTGTAGTAATAGATAAATGCCAAATATTTTTTTTGTCTTTATTTCATAAATTGTTCCTTCGAAAATTGTTAACTATCCCCTTCAGTTGAGTTTCTCACATGAATTTTGTAATTTTTATTAACTAAAAACTCTTTTATTACTGTAAAGTTAGTCAAAAAAGTCAACGAAAGAAAAAGTAACATTTAAGTACATTACTGTCTTATATTTTGTGTCTTGCTAAGCTCCGCATGAATTTGGTGAAGTAGTAACTTGTTTCTCGCAACATAATTTTTTTTTATCAATTTCAATATTCATTAAATGTATTCAAATTAAACGCTTTTGCTAATAGTAAATTAATTATAAACAAAAATTTTAATTGTTTACATTTTGTAGCCAATAATCTATATTTTAATGAGAAGTTATCAATTATTAAGTTAATTGCTTACGTATGATATTTAATATATGTAAAATTCTTAATATCTATTTAAGTAAATACTGGAAACTATATTGTAGAAGTATCAAAAACAGAACTAACGTAAGCAGTTAATTTTTTTTGGTCATTATGTAAACAGTTAATTTTTTTTTGTTCATTATGTAAACGGCCGTAAACAGAATCTTTATAAATACACGTCTTATATTTGTAGAATTGGTGATTTTATGTATATTACATTTCATAAGATATTTTGAGTTAAGGCCGTCAATTCGTTAGATTTTCCGACCTAAAAGCCGCAAATAGTCATTATTTCGGAATAATTTTTGGAATATTTTATATTATTATCATAACTCATTAATATATACCTTATACAGTAAGTACTTCCAATATCCACTTAAGTTTTCACGGTAATTCATAATGTAGTCATATACAAACATGTAAAAAATTTGAGGAATTGTAATCTTCATTGTTTTATACTAGTTATGTAATTATATTTATGGTGTTATGCAAGTAAAACTGCGAATTCCCAAAGTGATATTATATGTTGATAATTTTGTAAATAAAGCTTCACTATTTAAATGGATTTTATTTTTTACCGAGTAGTGTTTACCAACAGGCAGAATTTAAGAAGAACATGGCCAGGATAAAAATCAAGTCCATTTTACACTTATTGCGGTAGTTGATGAGAATAGTTCGCTTGAAGTTGTTGACGAGTATGCGTGTCCCGGATTAATCAATTTAGGTTAATCCAAATTCAAACAAAAGATTAACCGATGAATCCAACACCGCTGTGTTGCGTTCGGGAAACTGCAACAAATCTTATTGTACGGTATTCTTCGGAATCGTAAGACGAAAGTTTAAAACCATTGCGTGTTGCCAGAAAGAATTTACTGTCCTTTATTGCTGGCCGTATGATGAAGCCCAAAGTCACTCAGCGTGCGGCGGAATTACACTGCGGGACAAAAACCGTAACGAGTTTTACCGCATAAGATCAAGAGTAACATTCCAGCAGATAACAGTTACAGTGCGCTGAAGTGTTAATGGGCCGGCTATATAGCTCGAAGAACAGACAAACCATAGAGAAGAAAGATTTTCGAGTGGCAGCCTCTTACTTAAAAACGAAAGGAAACTAAAACAAGAGATGGCTGCAGCAGCTAAATAAACTTTTACGTGTAGTCGTATTGCAGCATTTTATGGCTGTAATACAAATGGGTTGCTACGAAAGGGGAAGAATCATAATGATACTGTGTTTCCTTTTTCTTGTAATGAATCATTCAATCTTAGTCCTCTGAAGTGAAACCAATCAACACTAAACCTTAATCGATGATAAATATGTCTATGCGCTCCAGCGTCTAAAATCTTGTAGTTTTGTGGTATTTTTTAGAGAAAGAAAATGTTTTCTCTATCACTGCTATATAACAAAATCAAACGTGAAGAAACACAAAGTTAATAGGGATAATCCGTATAGCTGATTGTGGCAATTATAGTTGCTTGTACTTCAATATTAGCAGAAATATTTAATCATAGTATATATATCATAGTATATATACGCTATTTTTTTTTCAGATATCAATTAAGATGTAAACAGAGTGTTGTCCACTATCTTACTATTAAGTCTTGTTGGCATTTAGTAAAATATTTTAAAGTCGTAAATAAAATAAAAAACGTTTTTTAATTTCTTAATTTATAGCGACTGCATAAGGCATAAACAGAAACAACAACAATTAAATATACATTGTCGCAATGTACGAGGTCTGAGTAAAATCAAATGTTTTACTACAAAATCTCATTGTACCCTAAATTTAAGATGACATTATTAAAACTGAACAGTTGCTTTTGGATGGTATTTTGAATTCAGAGCTAATTGATAGTCGTTATGTTGTGTGACACCGCAATCGTGACTACGATGTGACGGGACAAGTGTACGGGGGCAGTGTGCTCATCGCAACTCGTAGGAAATTGTCTGTTGAACCACAACTCCAGTGCTGAAAGACTTTTGGTTTGCCCTGACAGTCATGAGAAGTGACAATAAAATGACTTATTCATTTGCTAATTTATGCCATATATCTTATATTATCTGCATTAAAAAAATCTCAACAGTTATTGAGATGTATTACAAAATAAATGATCTTTGAAATATCCGACGGATAAATATCTTATAGTGGGTCACTTCAATTAAAACAACATAACATTGGTGCCTGCTTCTAACTGCTGTGATTATTGTTTCATACTAACCAACTATACGACGTAACGAGACGAAATTAACGAGCTTAATTTTTGCAAATATAACAGTATAATCAAACAGTGGTAGAGCCACGCGGCAGCTTTTGCTGTCGCACGGATGGGCCGGCTCGAACCGGGGTGGTACCACGACCTCACAAAATACTAGCGTGAAGTAGAGGTTGACGTTACGTTTCGCTTGGTGAGTGCCCGAAGGCCCTTTTTACTGGAAATGAGGCATTCCATCTTCGTCCTCACGGGTGACAACGAATCTACATTTTGATTTGTAACAGAGGATAGATGTAGATGTCTATGGGCCGCAGCAACCACTTACCATCAGGTGGACTGTGTGCTCGTTTGTCACCCTAATCCTATAAAAAAATAATGTCGTCTAGACCGAATTTCAGTCACGGCGGCTGCCAGCCTCAACGGAAACTAGACATCGACGCAGGACAGGTTCATTGTGCTCAAGAACATGCGCAAGCACAGGTGCAGTCTCTATTATCTCTACCCCTTACTCTCATAGTCCGATGGGACGGTAAACCGACACTACCGGAGAGAGATCAGGCACAGGACCTACGGTTTTACGTGCTTTCCGAAGCACGGGCGTAAGACACCGCCAACTTACTGATTCCGGACAGCTACTGAGA